ACAAATTAGTCCCTGATATGGGCAAACTCGATATGAGTTGATAGAAACAAAAAAGTAATGATGACGTAGGCTATTTCAAAGTAAAAATGAAGAGATCTGCTATAGGGCCCGGCTCAATGACCGGGCCCAAATACAGGGCGCCGAGATGGTGCCCTCACATTGGAGGGTCAGCTCCCCTCCAATTACAGGGTCAGCTCCCCTCCAATTACAGGGCGCCACCTCGACTCCCTGTTTTTTGTCCCGGTCATTGAGCCGGGATAAATGGTTTAATCCAAAAATGAAACTGTTGTTATTTGTTTACTTTTAAATGTTAGAAAATATAATGATGCTGATTGGTCGTCATACTTTTTACAATATTTTTCATTGACTACATTACTATTCACAACGTTTTTGATTAGCCATTGCACGTTTTGTTAAGTTCCTATCATTAGACATCATGAATTAGTAGCAGTCAGTAACTGACGGACGAGATGGATAGAGGGTAACTGAAGGTATTTGCACATTGAAGCGAGATGGTGCAACCAATTGATAAGGGTTTGCCATCATTAACTAGGCAGTCGTCAAAGGTGAGCTGCTTAAAGATACAAGAGTTGAAGAGCCGAGCTGAGCTCAGCCAATCACATTTCAAGTGTATACCTGAAATGGCACACCCCAAAATACATACATTCATCATCTCCATCCTGTAGGTTGGAATCCCATTTGGCAGTGATTGTGTAGCCTCCTGGCTTATCACGTTGTCAGATTTCAAACACTTGTCGCACCATATCCGGTCCAACTTTACATCAGCCTTTCGTTTCGGTTTATCTTTCCTATTGCTTCTGCAAAGCCAGCCGAGTACAAACAAGAAAATTGAACCATAGGCTATTGGATTGAAGGCTTGAGAGCATACATAGGTTGCATTTGATTTTACAAAAGACACGTAGAGAATACACTGGGCAGTCTTAGATTGCCCAGCGGAGTAGTAGCAGACAGACTCTCTCTCTCTCTCTGTTTTTCATATAAACATTCTAGTGTGCTAAAAAGCAGATAACAATGCAGAATCCACCGGGCAATCTGAGATTCTTTCTTTTGGTGTCTGTGTTCATACATAAATCCAAAATCATCATACATGCAGGAATACGAACAATGTACGAACTGTTTTTGATCTTTACAAATTTTTCTGTTAAAACCCAAAATAATTTAAAATAAAGCTGCTTATTTACCATGATTCAGAAGCTTGCGATGAGAAGCAGAGGGAGAGTTTACAGCTGATTCATCGTCAAATTGCAGGCCTGAAGAAGACGAAAATAGATTTTAAAAATAAATAAAAGGAAATCAGACAGGCCTCTATAATTTCTGCAGTAAAAATGAAAGCAAAAAAAAAAAAAAA